AGGATAACAACACCTTTTAAAAGTCTGAATTACTCCACTCAGCTTGATCAAAATTTCTCTGCCAAACAGAGAAAAGTTGTTGCCCACCTCTTCAGAGTGGGCAGCATTGCATCAGTGAAATGACTCTCCCAGTTCTATTGGGACCCTTTGAAGTGAAGACATTGGGGACATTATTGGACTTGGAAAGGCATAGGAAAATGCACATAGTAGTTAGCATCTGGAGGAGGAAAAGCTTATTAAAACATAAATATTTGTTTCAGGACCCTGTAGTTAATGTTCACCACAGTGCAGGGGGATTTACTTAGTCAACTTCCATCAAAAATATATTAAGGGAAGTTGTGTAGATAAATCCCTAAGCTTCTCTAGGAACAGCTCTTCTGTATTTATAACTCCTTTTGAATTTCAATGCCCCTGAAAGCTTAAGGAACCTCAGATTTTATTTTACTTCTCTGGTAGTTTCAGTAAGTTGTAATAACATCCTGGGAACATGACAAGTGTGACAAAGACTGTGCTCTTTATTGGACTGATCACATCACTTGCATATTAAGGGAGAAATTTCTGTTCCTCAAACTTCAGTATGTGCTGATGCAATATTTCTGTCAGCAGCTATCTGCAACCCCCTGAGAAAGGAAGAAACTGTGAAAAAGGGTTCTTGGATAATTCATTCATAATGTTGAATTTTTCCAGTGTTGGTATGACTTATGAAATACAAATTGATCTGTCCAAAAGGATGAAGTAAACTGGGCAATGTCATTAGCTCTGGGACTGTCAAATGTTAGTGAGATTAATCGCTGGTTTCTCCAGATACTGTTCCCCAAATTCCTCTTGGGGTCATCTCACAGTATCTGGGACCATCCAGGAGGACTCTGGCAGTCACACTCCCGCACTGGAGCCTTTCACTGCTGGGATCAAAGCCTCTTTACATCAGACCCCACTTGGCTCCACACACTCATGCAAAGTCAGACCAGGCTTCCTCACCAGTTCCCTGAGTTTTCCATAGCAGAGTCTCAGATGTCTCATTCCAGAGAGCAATTTATTCACAGCACAGGAACACAAACAGCTCCAGCTGGTGTCTCCAAGGAGGGACCCCGATCACAAGCATCTCTAGGCTTTTATCCCCTCAGTCTAAGCTTGTGGAAGTCTCACCCTTCCTCCTCATTCATCAGATCCTGCTGTGTCTCTGAGTGTCTGGTCACCTGGCCAGAGCCACTGCTCCTGCATCCTTTGCTCTGCAAAGGGTCAGCAATTCATGGCCTCTTGCCTTGGGCTCCTGCCATGCCAAGCTCCATCTTCAGCTCACACTGCAGCTTATGTTCCTCAGCCCTAGCAGTGTTATTTCCTTCTGACTGATGACCTTTGAAGGTATAGAGTTATCTGTCAAATACATGGTTGCTCATAATAGCTGCCAGGTTAGGAATGGATTTTACCTTCCTATTGATTAAGGTCATGCTCTTCCTTTCCACAAGCTGAGGTGAAGAGACATGGTCTGTGGGCTGACAGCTTTACTCCTTTATTACTATACTACTATGCCAGAGATGAAAAAAAAAAATTGTTCATGTTCTTTATTCTCTTCCATTCTCAAACTCTCAACTGAATTTTCATTGAATTCATGTAAAGAATTTCCCCCATTCTTCTCTGCTTTCTGGAACTGCTGTGTAAAAATATGTGGTCTGAGCTGTGCATAAAGATAATCCAGAAGCAGCAAATGGTCTCACTAACCTATTCATTTATGTATAGTATGAGTAGGTTAAAGATGGGTTTTAAAGAGAAGCTGTGCTTTAGACTCGTTTTAGTGTCTCTTCAATTTAAACCTTCCAGGGAGAGATTTCACCTGTTAAACCAAAATTGAATGACATTACATGACACTTTCACACTTTTCAGCTTGGTTTACCAGCATTCAAAGGCCCTTTCCCTCTGAAGGGCAGGAAATAGCATGTCACAGGAACAATCTCTTAGAAGCAAAGCAGCCTTTGTTTGTCAAAAAGGTGTCATACAGAGCACAAAGAGTAAAGGCAGTAAAGACTTATGTGATGATGACTCTTTCATCCAAACTGTAGTTTTTCTCTCAGACAGAGAACTATCTGCTTAAAAGCACGTAATGCTCATAATCAGGCAAGTGCCTTTAAATTGCCTGGTCCCCCTCTAATCACATCTGCTTGACTTGACTGAATACCCTGTAACCTGAAAATTACATCTACACTGCTAAGTGTATATTCTCCTGGGAGTGAAACCTGGCTCCCAGGCCAGATGGTGTGAACAGGTTGTGGCTGCTTTGCTGTGAGCAGATTTCAGAGCACACTGACTGCATTCACCCTACACAATCCTTGACCCTAGACCTCTTTTATGTCCCTTGTCTTGTCTCTGTGATTTTAAAATACAATTATATTTTTGTGTGCAATTCATTCATTTCAGTGTTCAAAAATAATGACAAATGCCCAACTGCTGAAATATTAGCAAACTTCCCTTAAAGACAAATCATACTGTAATGGGAAGCTTTTGATGTGTTAATTCCTTCCCTTTTCACTGATGCTAGATTTATTTTTTCCCCTTACTTGGCATTTGTCCAGAATTACCTGTGTTTTTTCCTAGACTTTTATTTTATCTCCCTCTCTAAGGCAGAGGGAATCTAGAAACAGAACAACATAGTAATTCAGGAATACAGGGTAAGTTTGATTTTGTGGACACTTTTGCATAATGCAGGACAAAAAGAGTTTCCTCAGGCTGAGTCTGGATGCATCTTAACCATGTTGCCATAGTAGTCTGCCTGTGCAAAAATGTATTTCCCCACCCAGGCTGTTGTGTAAAATGTAAAATGATTTACCCATTAGGAGTCCACTTGTTCAAGAATTTCTGTACCATTTTGTCTTTTCCAGGCAAAACTTACTGTTGAGGTTGCAATGTGTTCTCTTGAATCATTATCACTGACAAAGATACACAAGAAAGGGAGATCACAGTGTGAGCTCAGAGATTCCAAGTAGAGTTTGCATGGAGAGTTCTACAATATTTATAAAGTCAGTGTGTTTGATCTGAAAATCATGGGAAAAAGCAAACACAGAATTCTGTCACACCATGTTTTTTTCGAAACTAAGTCACAGTCCTTAGTGTAAAGTACCCTAAAGTATGTTAAAAATTCTTGTTATTAGTACTACAAAATGAGAAATGTAGTAAAATAGCAGAGTCTGCTCAAATCATCAGAGATCAAGAGCACACTGAATCTTCCTTTGTAAATAAAGAAGTAGTGTGGGATTTCTATTTGATTCTTACAAAGAATTTTATTTCCTTGGCTGTGATGTAAACCAGGACTAACTCTCCTTTTATCACCAGTTGTGTCTAGCTATGTCTAAAAAAATGTTATTATATTTTAATGCTATAGAGGATCTTAGAAAATGAATGGTTTTGGGAAAAATATCAAGAGCAAAAATCTCCTTGTACAAAATCCCAAGTAATAATTAAAATTAACAAAAAGACACCAAATTTTTCATGCCTGCTCCATCAGTGCAGAAGCTTTCAGGAAGTGGACAGCCCAAAGTGTATTTAAGTGTTGCTACTACTTGACCAGAGGAAGATAAGTGAGCTTTCAGAAAGTCTTGAATTTACTGACCTTCTCTTCCAATTTGAGCTAATTCATTAGCTTCATAAAAGCCTTTCACCACTCTCTCAATAATTATTTTTTTCCACATAGTTGAGTCCTGAAGAGAGTGTTATAAACATTCTTTCTAATGGGTGGATCTGAAAATCACTTTTCCTGATGGCTGTGATAGAGCTGTGGGGAATTTTCTGTGATTCCTTTGGGTATTTTTTCTACAGGACCACTCCATGCCTTTATTTTGCCAAGTGTTCAATGAGGCAACATTAATATAGCACCAGAATAGATGACCAGTACTCTACCATAGCTACAGGTTTTCTTTTTGCTTTCAAATGTATTAAATATGTGGAGTTTTTTCTTTCCCTGAAGGGAACTTAGTGATACCCTGGGGATCCCTGGCTTGCATTTATTCATAAAAATGGGATATATAATGACTAATATTTCCACATTTATGGGCTTCTAAACTTTCTTAAATGACCACTTGTACTGAAAGACAATTTCTATTTCACTTCTTTATCATTTGGCTGAGAGATGACATATTTCAGTTGGAGTAGGTGGAGTTCTGCATCTTTCTAATGATAAATTTTCACTCCAGTTTTTGGAAGCTGAACCACAGCTATCCTCTTGTTTGATACAAAGCCACCAGATATTATGGCTATGGTATCCAAACTATTTATTACAGAATGTCATTAAGGCTGTAAAGGTTCAGTGGAATTCATTTACTTTAGGTATACAAAAACTGATCTGAGCTCTATTGCCTGCAGAAGGTTTTTACTGCCTGAGACAGTGCCTGATAGAAGATGTGTGAAACAGATGCAAGAACAAGAGATGCTTTCCTTATCTGCATGCTGCTCGGCTGGGAAAGAGCATTAAGAAGCTGTTTGTTGCTGAAATAGGCAAGTTTTTAGGTACAAATGGAAGGCCTAAGTGAAGAATTCTACATTGGCCTATACTCCATGGATCTGTTCCAGCTTCAGCCTGGTCTGCTCTCTGGCTATTCCTTAGCCAATTTTAGACACCATTAGATGGCAATATCCTGGGATAGGTCTAAAACTCTGTCAAGGAGAAAAATAAGCTCATTTTTTTAAACTTCTATTCCTACCTTTACAAATTATGAATGTTTTCAACACTGTTGTAAATCTGATTTATTCCAAAAGTGTGTATTTGAAGTGGTTACAGTATATCCAAAGTAATTCACAAATCCTGCTGTAAATTTCTGTCTCCTGCAGTTTAGAGCAGTATTGCCTCAAAATAGAGTAAAAACCTCAGGGTTTGACCTATGAATCATGAACTTTCCTTGTGTCTTCAAAAAATGGTTTCTTGGATATGCATCAGTGAAAAATATTTTTGTGACTATACCTGATTTTTGATCCTACTCTGAAATATTATTTGTATCTATAATTACTTGCATGGTTATAATTAATACAACATTGAATATTAATGTTGTGGCTTGAGTGAGAAGATGGATAGAACCACCATCCATAAACCTTCCTAGTGAAACAATTCCTAAATTGTGCTGTATTGACAGGAATTCGCACCCACATCACAAGACCAATATGGACACATTTAAAGATGTCAAATCTATTTCAGCCTTCACTGAAGGAGAGTGAAGGGAGCCATGACAAGGTTGGGGACTGCAATGGTAATAAAAAGTAACAAAAGTCACTGCTCCAGAAATGGTGGCACCCAGTGATAGTACAGCAATAGTGAGAGTGGGAAAGGGGTTCCTGACACTGGGTATGAATGCAGAGGTTAAGAAGTTGTTTGACAAATTGAATATGTGGGAGGAAGACAGGAGAAAATCAGCAGAAAACCAGAGAAATGGCTGTGAGTGTATCCCTGAGGAAAACCAGCAGGAAGAGATTTTAGGGAATGTAATGTACTGAAAAAGTAGATTTGGAGATTGTGAGTGAGAGACTTGTGTGCTGTCATTTGGTTTTGCCTATTCAGAAGACAAAGCTTTGTTGGTCCCTTGCAAAGAAACAAGATTACATCAAAAACTATAACTTGTTTTGTACCAGACTTTAAAAGGAAACATTCCCACAAGTTCCTATTTACTTACTGACTGCCTTGGTCAAAGTGTTAACAATATTTAAACCTTTGGAAAAAGTGCCAAAGTGACTTTGGGGAGACTCTTTTGATACTGCCCAGCAGCTTCCTCTGTTCATGTATGCTGGTAATTTTACTGCAATGAGTACTACCACTACAATTGCTCAGTTGCCAGCTTTTGATAAATGAGAGTTGGGAGCTCATGGGGATGTTTTAAAAGAGCAGGTCCTGCAGGTAACACTTTTCCATATTTCAAGCTTTTGTGGAACGTCTAAACTACTTGGCAATGTGCACAAAGGATTTGCAATAAGGCGTACCTTAAATCACTTCTTTTTACATCAATATCACTTTTAAGTAATCACATGCCTCTTATTTAATTGTGCAGTGATTCTCTAAAAAGAAAACTAGGCTATTTGATTTACTCCAGTGGCACTTAAACAATACTGACTGGGTCTTATTCCCACTACATAATATATGGACTAAGTGGGGCAAAGAAAAGAAGAGATTTTTATTTTGTCTAATTATGAACTTTCTCTAACAATATGAGGAGGATCAAAAGGTCAACTTGAATGTGAATGTTACTGAGTGTGTAGAAAAGACATAAAAACAAGTGATAAAGACAAAACCTCATGACAATCTAATCAATACAGTTAACAGAGCATTCAGTGCACTCTTCAGGAAGCAGCAGGAGCTCAATCCAGCGGGTGATACAGAAACAGGTATCCAAGACCCAGCTCAAGCCATATTTGTTAGCCCTTTAGGGCTTACTCAAATAACCAAAAACACATCAAAGAGCTCTGGACACCTAGGCTGAGCCCCAGTTAAACTGCTGCAGGTTGTTTTGTGAGGAGGACTTTAATTTTGTTGTTCATCAACAAGTATTTCTTACAGTTGGAGCTATCCTGTATTGCTCTGCCTGGTCTTCAACTCTGAAAGATGACAGGTCTCCCACAGGTCTCTTGCCACATCTACCAGCCCCATGCAGGTACCTCAGGCAGCCTAGCCATAACCTTATAGCTTCATACCTCTGTGCCTGGCCAGCTCAATTGAACATCAGTATTGATACCTTAATTTCCACTGCATGTCACCTCATGTTTCTCAGCTCCTGATCACCCAGTGGCAGATGACATGCCCAGTGCCATCACTGACAATTGTCTATCATTGAATTCCTCCTTCCTGACATATGGCTTGCACAGGCTTGCTGGGAGTGAAGGAAGAGATGGTCAGGTCAAGGTACGCTGTGACACCCCTGAAGAAAAGCAAAGCAATCAATGGTATCAGATGAGGGGAGCTAATGACCAAAATGGGCTCTCATTTCTTCTACAAAAATAAAGTTATGACTTCTGATTTACTGGGGTGGCATTTAAACAATACTGATTGGGTTTTACTCCCAGCACACAAATTAAGCAGGGAAACATTCTTTTGAATGCATGATATATTGTTTATTTATTTTAAAAATCCTTTTAATCTTCAAAGCTTAAGTAAGCTTAGACTGTTATCATGATGAAATGACATATGTTAAGGCATAGTTCACTCTTATAATTAACATTACTGTTGAAAATGTGGGGCATAATGATGTGGGGCCAAGGCCAGGTCTAGAGCCCCACTCCAGCTGTGGTGGAAGCTCCCACTGTCAGGAAAAGAAAGAGAATTTCACAGTAAGACTGCTGAGCTTCTATGGGCCTTCCTCATGACTGTGCTGCAAATTTTTTCTATATCATTTATTTAAAACAGGCCTGACAAAAGAAATAATACTTTAAAAGTGAAGCCAGTAAATAACAGATGCATTACTGGAAGAGCAACACTACAGAGAGTCAGTGTGCCATTTACTTCCTGCAGCCATTTAAAACAAAAGAAGCATAGTCCTAGAAAAAATAGGGGTAGAGAACATGACAGAAACCATTGCAATTAGTATCACATCAGTCTGATGGGCACAAAACACATGACTAGGAAGAAAATGTGACATTTCAAACCATACCAAGAAATCTGGCTGAAACGAAGATGACTTTCTGGAGAGATATTACTGATGTGGAGACGTGATTCTTTGAAGCTGATTTTTCCATTTGGCGTATTTATAGTTCAATCAAATATTCTTATTGATCTGAGAATGTGGTATTTTTGTTAGGAAAGGGATAATGAGTGTCTAGGTATCTAGTAAATCCTCCAGAGATCTGAGCTGCCTGGATGCTGATTAAGGCTGACGCTCTTGGAACACTGACTGCATTGCTCTGCTTGGCTACCCACTGTGCCATGCCTTTAAAGATCAGGTGCAGACCAATTAGTTAATTTTAATTGTGCTTATATTAGTTTCAATTAGCCTATCAGATGTCAAAGAAGCTAAGAGAGCTTCTTACTCTCACTCTAAAAATCACTAGAATCAAAGAATGTCTCAGGGAGAGTTTGTATGTGTCTCAGTGTTTTGGAAAAGATGCAGAATATAAAGTCTTCCTGGTCATAGTCAGAACTGAAATGAGACTTTAATAGAATGAGATTTTAAAAGATGCCAATTTTCTTGACTCCTGGTTGATTTTTTTGTTTTTTGTTATTTTTTCATTGCATTGCAAATAAAATAATTGGAATTGTGTATGTGATTTAAGAATTAACATCTCAGAGTCAGAGAATCAACTAGGTTGGAAAAGACCTTTGAGATCACTGAGTCCAACCTAGAGCCTAGCACCACCTTGTCAATGAGACCCTGGTACTGAGTGCCACATCCAGTCTTCCCTTAAACACCTCCAGGAATGATGACTCCACCACCTCCCTGGGCAGCCCATTCCAATGCTCAATCACCCTTTCTGTGAAGAACTTCTTCCTGATGTCCAACCTAAACCTCCCCTGGTGCAGCTGGAGACTGTCTCCTCTTGTCCTGTCACTGTTGCCTGGGAGAAGAGACCAATACTCAGCTGGCTGCAACCTCCTTTCAGGGAGCTGTAGAGAGTGACAGGGCTCCCCCTGAGCCTCTTTTTCTCCAGGCCAAACAACCCCAGATCCCTCAGCTGCTCCTCATAGGACTGTGGCTCCAGACTCTTCATCAGCCTTGTTGCTCTTCTCTGGACACACTCCAGCAGCTCAAGAGACTCTCTAATGTACAGAGCCACCCCTCCACCTCTCCTCCCTTGCTTGTCTCTTCTGCAGAGCACGAAGCCACCCAGTGCAGCACTCCATTCATGCCACTCATCCCTCTACGTCCTACAAGTCACAGCTTTCCTGCTGTACCATGGCTCCCAGCTCCTCTTGTTTGCTACCCATGCTGTGTTCATTGGTGTAACTTCACCACTCTATTTCTCTCTCACTCTCCCTAATACTCCCTAGCCTTTCCATTTCTTCCTTAAGCTCTTCCACTGGGCAGAGCAACCATTCACCTCCTCACACCACACACAGCCCTGCCCTTCAGTGCTCACACCAGGCTCAGACACTCCCTGCAGCCACTGACCTGGACAGCTGACCCCCTTCTTGGAGGGTTCTGTTTGGCCTAGCACACTCTTGCTGTGTGCAGCAGCAATGGCTTTTAACTGTTTGTAAAACACAGCTGCTTCAATTCAAGTTGCTGGGGGTGGGGGAACCTCACTCCAACAAAAAACCCCAATCAAAACACCACACACACCTGACACCAGCAGCAGCCAGGGGTGTGGCTGTGGCCTCCCTGGTGTGGAAGCTGCCCCCTTCGTGGTTTACCTGCTCATGTTGCTGCACTCATGGAGCTCATTAAATCTCCTGCCAGTGGTCCTGGTACTGCCCCTTGTTCACCTGATAAAAGTGAGTTTTGACACACTAGGGTGAGCCTGGAAATGATTTTTAGTGAAACTTTGTGTCCCTATGAATCTGGCTTAGACAAAGACATTCATCTTTGCAAGTCTGAAGGTCTCCATCAAAAGCCCCAACATGGTATTTCTGAAGATCTCCCTTCCCACAATGCTTTGAAACTGTGTTCAGTACTTTGCAAGACTGATGAAGTGAGATTTCCATGCATTTGGGCTGAAGTTCTTTGGCTTCTGAGCACTTGACTCTCCATGGGTCAGTTTATGCAGTGGCATGGATTCCACCAGAAAGTCAGCTGACAAAGCCTGCTTTTCTCTGTGGAAAGATAGGTAGGGATGAGACCAAGTTAACTTTTTTGCTGTGAAAAGACCTCCCTGGATCACATTCCATCTTCTTTAATGTCTTATTCCACTGGTTACTGACATATTTTGTCCTCTATTTTGCATATGCTGCTTCTCACTGGAAATCCCACAGTGAATGACATTGCTGATATCTGGTGCATGGAGAAAATCACACACACCTGCTGAATTCCTTACCCCTGTAGGTGAGGGGTATCTAGTTATCATTCTGTCCTAACTCCATGGAATCCCATGAAGCTAAGCCAGCAAAACTGTCCATGATATTTAGCTCATTAACAGTGATCAAAGCAATGGAGCTTGCTTTGGGATACTAGGGTTATGTTTTGTAATAAAATTTTGCGGTTTTCTCTACCCAGACTCTGGAACATAAATCACAGCTTGAACTAAAAAGCAGTCTGTGACATTACAAATATACAGATATCCCTCTTCCTCTCTGAAAAAAAGAAATTGGGTAGCAGTTACAATTTTTTATTTACTTATATAATTTTTTTTGCATATAAAGCCTCTTTTTATGCTGACAAAAATATTTTTCTCATTGATAACAGGGTAAATAAATTTTTAAAGGATAAAATTTTCTGCCTGGGAAGAGATTCTGTTGCAAAAAAGCAACTACATAGCGATACTTCATGAATTGTTGTGAAGACCAGACCCGTAGTATGAAATGATGCTCGGAGCCACTAGAGGATATTTTGCTGACTGGTTTGTACCTGAAGTTCACTCATAGGTAAGAGCTGTTTTAACTGTACCTTCAGATTACTATTGAAATTAATAAGCAGAAAGTCTTTTGCTTGAGTACTGATAAATCTCACTAATGATAATTTAATTTTCAGAAGATTTCTCTCTTGGAATTCAAGATAACTCAGGCCAAATCCATAAAAAACCCCAAGAAGCTGCAGTCCAGAAGTATCTCCAAGATCACAGCAACTGGAAAACACAAACTTCCACTCTGAACACCTTGAGGAAGGCTGGAGACAGTGTGGCCCCAGCCCCAGGCTACAGCACACTTTTACTCAGCATAGCCCAATCACAGGCAAATACATCTGTATCAAAATCCAGGACTGTTTTAATTTGCATGTGTTTGTCAATAACCACGAGTGACAAAGAAAACACAAGTGGAATTGCTGATGTCACACCCCCTTCACAGAAAGCATAAGTGATAGAAAAGTAAGAGGATTTTGTTCCAGCTGCATCTCCTGAAAGTCCCATCGTTACGGATGTTCTTCTGAGCCAGAGATACTGCTGTGTAATTTGTTCTGTATCTGTAGCTGAAATAGGTTTATTTAAATTTTTCATTTATCCATATTTGTCTGTTTTAAAGCCTGTGCTAAACCCTTCATGCTTACAGAACTTCTCTGCCAGTAAGGTGGCTTTACTGAGTATGGGCAGTATTTCACTAAATGGAATTTGTGAGATTCTAAGGAGAGAAGTTTATATATATAAATGTTTCAGGATGATGATGATAATAAGGTGTGACATAAGACATGCTATGATACACTGGGAAAGAGTGAGGAACAAGTTTATGACTCCAGAAGGTATTGTTGGAGAGGGATCCAGTTCCCATATATCTTCTCATCTATGTGAGCAGAATTATGTGAGGATGGAGTGAAGCCAGTCTGAGCTCCTAGCAGCATGAATTGGCTCTGGATACCTTCCCTCAGAGCAAGGTCAAACATATTTAGAATGCAGCAGCTCACAGAGAGGCAAGCTGCCATTTGGGCCAAAATCCTGGGAAATGGGCCAAGGACCACAGCTTGGTCAGAAGAGGGCTGTGGGTTATCAGCAAACCAGACCACTGACAGAACCATGTCATCTGTATACCCTGGACATCCTGGATGGCTTCTGAGCTCTGCAGATCTTCTGGAGCAAAAAAAAAAAAAACTTTTTGGGGCTTGCTGCCTACTCTACAGAGCTTACAGAGCTGAAACAACCTGGGGAAAGAAAAAAAAAAAGTAGGCAGAGAGAAGTGTGTGCTTTTCTGAGCCCTGCATGTAATACCTTTAGGGGTTTAATTTGGATGCCAGCTGTATGTTAGGATTTGAGCAGCTACAATTTTCAAAGAAACAAATTAAAGCTACAGCAAACTGGTCTGAGAGACTTGTTTTCCCTCAAACCTTACTGTTGCTTTATTTATTTAGTCTTCTCTCTCTTTCCACCTATCATTTTGTCAGGTTTAATAGGGCCTGAAAATAAGACATCAGAAAACACTAGTGGCAAATCTGATCTATGTGTGATTAGCCCTTGGCTACATTACCTGCAAATTGAAATATATAAACAACATATAGCTGTTACTTTGGTGTTCCGACCATAAATAGCTTCAGGTGCAGTAATGTAAAACAAAGCTGGAAACCACCATATGGTCACAGACACAGATAGCACTGTTTGAAAAATCCCTGCATTTTGTATTACCGTCCAATGGGAAAAAAAGGCTTGAAGCAACCTTTGGAATATCAATCTGAAGAGCAAATTATACGCATTTTACATAGCTTGAATAAAAAATGTTGTTCCTCTAAGCCATTTTTTACACACTAATTTTGCATTCATTTAGCTGTGTAACATTAGTACGAAAAGAAATCTTGAAGTCTAAGAGTCTATTGATAAACAGTTCAGCTAAAAAGGTAATTATTCTCAGAAGTTTTTTTTTTCTTTAAAATATACTATTTACTTAGAACAGCTCTTACATTGTTAGCACAAACATAATGAAATAATGGGCCATTTAGTGGGCTAATGTATTTTTCACTCGCTTTTTATCAACTTTATTTTTAAAAAAATCACTGCTGAGGGTGAAATAGTATAATAAGGTTAATGAGTAAAGAAATAACACAGAACTGCTTTTATCGTAGTTAGCATCTCTAAATCATGAAATGGGCGAAACAGATGCTTTGGAATGCAGCCGAGGAGTTGATCAGTAGAAGCTGATTATCTATTAATGAGAGGTTTTTAGTGGTGTACCCTGGTGTAAAAATCACTAGACTCCATTCAGGCAGTCATCAGTTGCAAATGCCATGTATATGAATCACTTGATTGATGTACAAAATTCAAAACAGATTTCCCCTGGTGCCCTATGGGTTGTCATGCACTGATGATCCCCTATCTGTTTATGTAAATGAAACAGGGTTTTTCAGTAAGTAAATACGTGTAGTATTTAATTAAACTCACTGCTGAGCTCTGTGTGAAAATGTAGCCCCATTGTTCAGAAGTATTTTTGGACTGCAATTCTTTGTTTTCACCCCAGCTTTCCTTCCCAGTTGCCTCAGTCCCCTGTCTAAAGAGCATCTGGGTTTGTCCCAATCCAAGATGTTATGAGCTCACAAGAAAAAGGTGCCTTTGACTTCAATAACAGCAGGAACAAACCCTCAGTTCCCATCAGCAGTGCCATGGTTGGCAGGATCACAAACGGGGTCTTGTGGAGAGTGCTGGCATTCTGCAAACTGCTCTGCTGCTGACCCCCTCTGGGGTCTGTGCAGTGCTGGGGAACTGGTTTTTTCATGCAATTTGCTGCCACATTTAGGAGATAAAGATTTTCAAAGTATTTTGAGACTGAATGGTTAAAACAGTTTTATGAATATATATATATGTGTGTATTTATATATATAAAATTCTATTAGGGAAGGAGTGAAAAGTAATATTTATATTATTATGTCATGTCAATTACTTTTGCTGGCTTTTTTTTTTTTTATTTATTTTTGTTCATTGTGATGATTATTTTCCCAAACAGAAATATAGCAGTTCCTGATATGCTCTGCAGCACTCACAGTGACTCCTGGCATGATTCGTGGCTTTTTTTATTGAAGAACTGGTTAATAGTTTACATTTATTAGTGGCTGCTTGCCCTTTACTGCGGCATGTGTTTGCAATTTAATGCTACCATGTATCAATAGTATTTACATGTTTGGTATTTTATTACACACCAGAAGTGCTCATGCATTTCATTTAGGCTATCCTATAACTTTCCTCGTTTGCTTGTGGGACTGCACAGGGACTGCACATAAGAAAGTCTCAGTGTATCAGCTCCCTTCTTCACATTTCCAGGAGTCCAAAAGCTGCAAAGGCCAGTCTAGTTCAGATTTCTCTTCTTACCTGGTAAGATATCAAGGGTCTTTCCTGGACTAAGAGGGTTAAGAATACTTTGCTGAACATGATCTTTTCTGTTATGGAATCATTAATCTTCTGAGAGAGCAATTTAAATGGAATAATGGATTCTGCTTTGACTGTTTTATCTTGTTTTTTTTCCTGAGGTTTGATACAGAGGGGGGCTCAGAATCCTATTGAATGAAGTTATTGTTATTGAAGTTATTTAATGAATATTGCTATATTCACTAAGAGCTGCTCTTTCTGCCATAGTCTCAGTAAC